TTGCTTCTACCAAATAAAACATGAATTGGTGCCAAACATACAATAGAGTTTAATGGGCACAGACTTGGAAATAAACAACAAAAACACTTATCCCTCTTAAGCCTATTTATGTTGTTATTCTATCTATGCACATTTTTTTTTTCAGTTGAAGTGTATTATTTTATGCATGTGACCATTTCAGAACAGATCTGTGAAGCACCAGTGGAAAAGCATTTCTCTAATGATGTATTTCTACAATTATCTAATATATATCTCACTATGTGTGTAGCCTTCAACAAGTCAGAATCAAATTTACAGATGTAAACAAATGTGAGAATGAAAACAAACTTACACAAGAGCTGTTGGCCTCTGTATTCAACTTTGTGCATTTTAATCGTTGTGCATGTTCTGGCATACAATCTTTTGCAGGTATATTCATTTCTTTTGAATCACAAATCAATTGCTTGAAAAAGGTTGAAAATAAAAACCATGAGTGAAATGGTTCAAAACTCCTTTATTATTTTTATTATTTTTTGTTTTTGATCTTTTCCAGACAAACACATTGATTTCTGGACCACAGTAGAGGATGGAAACCTTTCACAAACATTTTTTATTATTATTATCATTATTATTTGAAAATACAAATATAAAATTATACTTTCCACATCTGAGATGTGAGAGACCCCCATCCACTTTAGTTTATTTTACAACAGGGCTTGAGCAAGCCATACAAGAAGACCTGAAAGATGCTTTCAGACGTCAGTCCGTTCAGTCAGTTCTCGCGGTAAAAAGTCCGTTAACATTAAAAAATGGGCAAGTGTTAGGAATGGGCAAGGCAATCAGCGAGGCCGAAGCCTCAGGAGAAAATGCGAGACCGAGTGTCAAAAATAAGACCCTCCACCTATTGACACCATATACACGTCCTTGTGAGGTTTACACGACACATTCTAAACTACTACCGGGCCTCCTGTACATCTGCTGCAGCTCTTACACAACACATGATTCAACAGCCAGAGGAACGAACAATGTGGACTAGCATCAGTTCACCTACGATGATGAGTCATGAGGCAGATTCAACAATTTAACAAAGAGATATATATATACACTATACATATATACCTTGTATATGTACACAAGTATACTGTACATTAGACATTACAGTGTAGAACCTTTTGCTTTATTAGTGGGATGATCGTTTTGGCCATTGCCTAGCACTTGCCGCAAAATTCAAGTTTAAATGGATTCGGTAGTTCACTCCCAAAATCACCCAACACCTTCCAGGTCATTTTCTTTTTTTTTTTTTTAAACCAACAATTTTCCAATGATTTAACTAGTCTAATCCGCTGTAAACTGCTGTCCATGGAAAACAAAATGATGGCAACAGAGCCATGCTACCTTAAAGTCCAAGCTACGAGATCAAATTATGGAAAAAAACAGAAAAAAAACAACCCCGGTAAGCTAACCGATGCGAATGGAAAAGGCGGTTTAAAAGGGTTGCCAGCCTTCATTTTAATCAAGAGTCACCGAATCATGCACTTATTTGACAGCAGAAGGGAAATGTGCTTCATCTGCTGTTAAACATTTGCCTTCAGATGTTTAATCGCAGACCATCTAAATGTGTATGAAGACCTAAATGGATGCTGGATACTCAACTTGTTAAGAAAGAGACAACCAACTAAGAACAACTAACCACTTAGTGTTGCAGTTTAAAAAGATGTCTTCAGTAAGAAAATGCTGTGCACGGTTCATCCCGACAGCACCTTTTTATTTCACTCAAATGTATTGAATAAACTTCAGTTAGAAACCACCTTTCATTAAAAGTTGTGCTGTGCTGATCGTAACTCACTAGTAGCATAGCAATCTCCCCAGTGAAGGTGGTACATTGGCTCATGTTTGATATCCCTGAGAACAGATGTGATTCAGGAATACAGATTCAGAGTGACACTAGATTTACACTAAAGTCAAGCCAATTAGCGTGACATCAGAACAGACAATGATGCTGTCTGGTATTGAATGTAGGAATGCTGAATTCAAATGAAAAGCTGGCAATGCAATTAAAAAGTACAAAAACAATCATATTGTATATTATGGGTGACTCAAAACTAAAGTATGTATTAATCTAGGCATAAAAATAAAATCCCCCCAAAAAAGTAGTGCTGTAGGCCACTGGGATATTTTATAAAGAGTATAAATATCAAAAACCTAGTACAGTTTTATCCATATCTATACTGATTAGGCTATATCATCATCATTACTTTGTTAGAACTTACTAAAAAAATATTTATGAATTTTTAATTCATGTAATAAAATCACCCTCTTCATAATTATAGCTTGCATCCCTCTTAAAAAAGAACGAAAGTAAAACATATCTAGCATTAGCATTTAAGGTAGTATGGCACACCCCTTTTAAAACATTCAAGGGTGGGGATCCAATTAATGCCTTGATTACAATTCTGTCCTACAGCAATTTCTTTCTCCTAGATTTCATCAGTGAGAGCTTTGGTTAGTTGAAACCATATGAGACCAGCAAAACAGTGGAATAAAAAAGGAGAAAAAAAGGGAAAAATTACTATGAAAATAACGCTCAGCATTTTTTGTCTTTAAATGATTATAAAGAGAAAGTTCTATCCTTACTGGTCCTACAATTGCTAATGAATACCTCTACATCTTAACATTAAGTACATAACACCTACAACTACTCACTAAAGAGAGAGTGAGATATAGAGAAAGGGCAAAACGACAAAAGGAGAGTGAGAGGGGGGGAAATGTGAAAAATACCAACCAATAAGTGTATAGACCACTACACTGGTATCAAGACAGCACTCTTTTACAAGGTAAAGTCATATTCCTGTTTTGTTTTTTTCTTTTTCTGTTGTTTTCTTTTTTTTACACACTACTGAAATACAATGATCAACATAAGATTACTGAATGAGGTGACAGGGAATGAAGAGAAACAATTGATAAATACAGTACATAATATCTGTATTATTGTCATTGTTATATTTAGTATAATCATTAACATCCACAAAAATATTGATAAAAATCCATCCCTATTTAAATTCAAAACATGTTCGGGATAGTTTTCTTTCTTGCTTTTTTGTTGTTGTACGTTTGTCTTTTTTAAAACAGCTCAAACAGTTAGCACAAAGTTCTTCTTGACTTATTTTTAAAAATCGTATTACTTTTATCACGTCCCCTTCTTGAGAAAGAATCCAGCATTCTGCCTCACCTGTTAGTTTAGTGAAATGAACAAAAAACAAACAAAAAAAATTAAATAAACAAAAATAAAACATTTTCAACAAGATCGAATAACAGCATCAGTCAATTCATATTTCTAAATGCCATTTGTGTCTCATCAAATGTGTGTAGCAGCTACTGGTTTCAGTGTTTCTGAGGAAATTAACTATTGCTACCAATAAACTCATCTGTCATCTATGATATTCTAGAATAAAATAGTACAGTCTTCGAATCAATGCAAGCCAAGACTCGAGATTCGTAAGTGTTATCCTGCGTGGAAAGAAACAAACGGCTTCCACAGCGGTCCTTCACATGACCCATGTTAGAGACTGTCAGCTCACATGTGCAAATAGAAAATGATAAATTCTCTCTCACAGTGCAATGATTTACTTAATTTCAAAACAACACTTTAATATCTTTTTCAATATCTGTCTCAGGCTAAAATAAATTACTTTGTAATCTCCTTTAAAGTAATTCTCACAGGACTGAGGTAATGGTATAAAAGATTTGTTTTTTCTAATCGTAGAGCAATTTCAAAACATTTTGAAATATTGCCTTTTTTTTATTCGAATCGTAAAAATCTCGACACACATGGACACTCGTTGGGAAAAAGAAGCTCATACTAGAATGCGAAATGAAATGCTAACATGAAATGTCTAGACACGGTTTGAAATCGTAATTCATGTGTGCTTTGGATTTTGTCGCGATTTTTTTTCTTTTGTTACAATGCTGATTTCTGTATACCTTGTAAAGTATATTCTCTATTCTCTGTAAGCTGCGCACATTTTAACGTACTATCTAATCCATATGCTGGTATGACACCTGCACAGGTGTAAAGCCGACGGTATTTACAAAGCGAGCTAACAGTGTTCGATTGAGTTTAGTCCGTACTGGGGTAAATCACGGCCTTTGTGCTACAGATGGACCTCAGTTACTGCATTGACCCTCGAAGATATTTTTGCACTGACATATTTCGGCTTGCGCACGATACAACCTCTGACACCATCACAAAAATATGGTTCTCTCTCAGAAACAGTTTGATGCAGTGAACAGAATAATATATACAGTTTCAGAATTCTTTTCTTTTTAAATCTAATTTCACAAAGTATTAAAAGGAAAGCTTTTTCTCTCTCTTTTTTTTTCATCGACAACAAAAATGACATTTATAAAAAAGGACTGTGAAAATATTGTAGTCCTCTTATTGCCCAAAATAGGTAATCATGGTTAACAAGACATCACAATAAACAGAGAACAGAGCTACTAAGATTTTTTTTTTAGTTACCCACTCATTGTGGTTTAGGCTTGAATTAAGTCACCTTTTCAAGCTGAGTCATTTCAATATGGTTTCATGCTTGTATGAAATGAAACCTGAAAATGTGATAGACGAGGGTTGTGAAATGACACTGCTATTGGAAAAATTACTACCTCAAAAAACGAAACAAAACAAAAAAAGACATTTTATGTTTACATAGTCGCTCTCATCAGAGAACATTCAAGAACAACGAAGAACATCTAGAAATCAAATAAACATTGGTTGATTCAACGTGTACACAATAAAAGATGAAAAATGCTTCTAAAAGGAAAAACAATAAAGGGGAAAAAATATAATCCTAATTCAAGGTCAGGGCTACACTAGGATAAAATATTCAAAAGCCAGGTTTTCAGTATAGTACAGCAGATTGTTTAGTTGTTTTTTTTCTTCTTCTTTCTGAGATGATTCTGATATTTCGGTTTGTTCTTCGTGTGGCGCCATCTCAGCTTTAGATTCCCATTCAGCGCTGTAGTGCTTGAAGTTTAATGGCCTTTACCTGTACACAGAACCAATTAGAAACTCCGGCCAGTCTTCCCCGGGCCTCCTGATAAACTCTGCTGAAACAAACAGCACATACTTTCAGTTAAATGGTGTGTGTGTGTGTGTGTGTGTGTGTGTAAAATGTGCTGCATCTGAGCCTTGCTGGTGACATAATCTTACCTCCATGAACCTTGTCACTAACAGCCACAAGTTTGGACACATTTGACTTCCAAATGCATGTTTCTCATTATCTTCCAATGAATTTGTTTACAAATACACTACTGTTCAAAAGTTTGGCGTCAGTAAGATTTTATGCATTAAATTAATCAAAAGTGACAGTAAAGACATTTATAATTTTACAAAATATTTCTATTTGAAATAAATGCTGATCTTTTTAACTTTCTATTCATTAAGTAATCCTGATTTTTTTTTTTTTATTGATAATATTAATAAATATTAATAAAAATAAATGTTTCTTGATCCTTAAATCAGCATATTACACTCTAAAAAATGCTGGGTTGTTTCAACCCAACTTTATCATGTGACACTGAAGACTGGAGTAATGCCCTGCTTTGCCATCACAGGAATAAATTACATTTTAAAATATATTAACTAAAAAACATGTATTTTAAATTATAATAAATTTTACAATATTACCATTTTAACTGTATTTTGATCAAAATTAATGCAGGCTTGGTGAGCATAAGAGACCTTATAAATAAAAAAAAAGGTCTTACCAATCCCACGTTTGAACAGTAGTGCAAATTGTGTATGTATGCCTTTTTTTTTTAAAACTAATATTTTTTATAAGAAAACTGATTTTACTTTCAAAACCTTATTTATTTATTTAAAATTTAACTGTTCATTTATTTTTTTAATGGGTGAGTTGGGCTGGAAAGTGTCAAGCATAAAAAATGAACTCCTTCAGTACTATTTAAAAGCAATCAATGTTGTCTTTGATTTAGTACACTGTAAAAAAAAAATCTGTAAAATGTACGGTAAAAAACCGGCAGCTGTGGTTGCCGGAATTTTACCGTAAAAAATACGGTAGAAACATTTTAGGTTTTAACTTAAATTTACAGTTAAATACCGTAATTTTATTAACTGAAATAATGTTAATATACCAACCTATTGAAGTACTGAAATCTGTTTTGTACCTTTGTAATACACTGATAACCACCAAATGCTCTTTTACCGTTAAATTCACGGTCATTTTTTACAGTGTATTATTCTAAAACATGGAAAATAGTAAAAAAGAATTAGTCTAAACTTTCAGCTAATTCACATGAATTTCAAATACAATTGTGCTTCAGTCAAACTGTTTTTCTAATAAAACCAAGGTTTTTAAAAGCATATATTGGCTTTGGAAGTGCAGTATGTTTGATGAACTGAAGCTTCTAATCGTACACAGTAAATCTAGTTTAAACATAAACCATGTATTGATTCAGTCCGGTTGAAAGTTTGCTGCCGACAGCTTTAAATTGAAGTAGAAATGTTATATCATCAGAATCACTCCACCGTCAGCATCTTTTTATTACAAGCTTCATTCGTTTAGGCTCAGATACAGAACACATTGGCACTTTTATGCGAACACATCTTATCTACATGGGGTTCAGACATCGACACAACACATATGTTAGTGTTTCAAGCATGCAGAAACTCTTCGGATGTCCATCCAACCAGGAAATGTCAAGTTGAGAACCTGCTTCTGCAATATCTCTCCGCTGCTGTTGCTTTCTCTGACTGCTAATGTGTGCTTCAATCAAACGTTTGGAGAATCCATACAGATGGAGCGATTCTACCTACTCATTAAATCAATCATCCGTTTTGCCTCGAGGACAAAATGAGAAGCTCTTTAGGAAGATTATGGGCAACAAACTGCAGTCCGCAGACCCTCTTATCCAGACGACAGGTCACAGGTAAATGCCATGGAGCCACAGAGTCTGGTGTAATCGCACTTGATGCATCACAGTAGGAGAAAAAAAAACAGTCTGGGTGCAAATATTAAGTAAGTATAGGGAAGGGATTTTGACCAAATAAATGCGCATCCACTTATCCACATACACCGCATTTAAATAAGAGAATCATCTCCGATTTAGCCATATCTGGCATCTAATCATATACTCAAAATCACCTTTAAGTCCTTAAGACCTAACTATAGAAGCGCAGTGATTACGGAAACAGCGCCTTATCCAAAAAACCTGATGAATTACATCAGATGGCACCTAAGTCAACAGATTCTCAGCAAAGAGGGCTCGCTTCCAGGTGCACACTAATCAAAGCCGCAACACCTGTGCATAATATCCAAATACAGCACTTCATAGAGGATCTGAGTCTATGTGCATTGGGAGCGCAGTGCCGCGGCTGTCGCAATCCAACTATGGCAGTGAAAGAAAGCAACTGCGCAGTTTTGAGTAGACCTGCTCGCAGACATCATGCATGAAAGGAACAGTCGAATGACAGACAGGCAGGCGGAGGATAAAGGAGGAACCAGTGATAAAAAGTAATGGGGCAAATGTGTAGCTGCCACACTTACGGTGTTTGCGAAGCGGGAAACACTTTTCAAGGCTTTCAAAGGGCTTCAAAATGTGGAATAAATAATAAAATAGATGTTCAATGAGAGATAAGACTTCTGAAAACCAGGTTGTTGCATATGAAGTTTAAATTTCCTTGTCTGAGATGTAAAAGCCCTGTAAAAGCCTACGGTGTTGATGAAAAAATAAAAGCACTACACGGATTCAACGTAAACTCATCTGAGAGGGAATCAAAATGAATGGGCAGATGGAACAGGAAGATAGTAGTGAACAGATACATAATTATGAAGGCACAAATCAAAAAAATATATTTCATAAATGATACAGGATATCTACCTCAAATGAGATGGCAACCAACCACCTGTTAGGTTTCAATGGTATCCATTTGTAAAAGCTGTCGCAATCAAAGGACCCTAAAAGTGTACAGTTAGTAATGGTGTCAGTATGCATTCTGAGTGAAAAGGCTAATATGTCTATCACTCGTAAGTCATTTCAATCACTGCATATGTTGCTAGCATGAATGCATGTTATCTATAAACTTTAAAGATCAGTCCACATCATTCCCTCAGTCTGATCTAGGTGAACAGCAGGGGAGAGCAAGAATAACTAATGGCGCTTTTCCACTGCGTGGTACGACTCGGCACGGCTCAGTACGGCACGGCACGGTTCAGCTCGGCACGGTTTGCGTTTCCACTGCAGTTCAGTACCGCTTTAGAGTGGGTGGGATTATTCACATGTCATTATAGTTGCGCCGCCTCTACTACCACGACTCCTAAAAAAAACTTTTTCATTCCGCATCGCCCCATCAAGCTCTCGCTGGATCCGCTCCTCTGCTATCAACGAGAGGAAAGGTCTGTTCTTCCGCAACAGACAACAAAACTTTTTGGTTGTTAAAAAAAGGTGCACTCGTTCCAAACAGTTGCGTTCAATCCTTCACTGGCTGTGCTGATTTAAATCTAGCGGTTCTTCTGTGTTTGTGTCGCAAGTTCAGTGATGCAGGTAGTGACGATTCTCTCCGGCCAATCCATGATCAGCAGAGTTTACACGTCACGTTTTGGTAACGGTACGGTTCACTTGGAACCCCAACCAAGGTGGTACTAAAAAAAGTACCAGGTACCAGGTACTGTACCCAGTGGAAAACACCCCAAAAGTGAACCGTACCGAGCCGTACCGTGCCGTACCATGCAGTGGAAAAGCGCCATAACACTCAGTAAATAACTCAAACATCAAATTGTAGTGAAAAGATGACAGACTTTTAAAGACTGCATGACTGTAAAGTTGCAAAATATATTTACTGTTTTTACAAGCTACTAGTACCACTGGGGTGGTACACCTTTGTACCTTATTTACCCTTAAAACATGAACATCCCTTTAAACAAGTATCTCTCCTTTAGGGCTGATGTTTTTTAACCAATTAAAAAAATCATAATAAAACGTAATGTAGTTAAAAAATAAATCAATAATAAAATTTACAGAACAACAGCAGAATGGCAATTACATAAACTATAATTATTCACATAACTAAGTTTAAAATTTTCTGTTATATTTATTACATATTTCAAATTATGCAGCAAATATATACTCGTTGTTTAACATTCTATATCTCAGTTAACGTCTACATTTAATGGCTGGAAATTGAAGATATGGGGTTAATTTAGGCTAAAAATCTTCAGGAAAAAAAACAAACAAAACAACAACAACAACAAAAAGGTGTTACATTTATTCCTGCTCTCCCCATTTAAATCTTTTACTGCCAAACAATGAAGTAAAATGGAAAGAAATATGTACATTTCAAAGAAGAAGAGAGAATAGAAAGTAAACTGTTGTAAGAAAGAACATTGATTTTTTTCAACAAAGATCAAGTAATTGCATATAATCATTTACATTCATGCCAACAATAACAACATTAATGAATTCATCTGAAATCACAATTCATGCAGCAAACATAAGCAAGAGACAAACGCTGTCAGAAGTCACATAGAAGCCTCAATCTGAGCAGGAAAACTGTGAACTTCACTTGTGTCAGGCTCCGGTCCAAACACTGAGCAACCTAAACATTGGCCAGATGTATCCACCTTTTTCCTAACGAGCCTACTGCGTTTTAAATTATGGGAGGCACTTCCGGTTTGGGGAAGTTACAGTCTTTTTGAGTCATTTTAAATCATAAAGCTGCGCCACAAATAATCCTTATCTGTCTGTTTGACTGAATGAGCTGTAAATTTTCCTTCATGTTCTATTTTCAGACGTCAGGAGAATAACGTAACGCTTAGTATTTTAATGTGACATGGTAGAAGAAGAACATCTATGGCAAGAGCTCTTTTCAATCCGATGTATTCTTTTCCTCCTGGTTACGTTCTTTCTTCCCTTGTATTCTGCCGTAACAGTATGAAAAAAGACAGCATACACTGCGCATTTGTGGTCTGTTCTGCCGATTTAATTTATAATACATCCCATGAATAATTCACTGGAATGCACTAAGAATCTCACATTTTTCTGCCCAAAAATCCTAATGTCTCTTTCCAGGTTTGTTTTCTCATAGATGCTTTAAAATATAATTGTCTCCCCTTTGCGCTTCTAATCCCTATTAGCAATGTTTACTGGAATGTTTCTAAAGCAGGTAAATATAATATTTGTAATCTGCTGAAATGACGGAAGTCACTGAAATATTATCACTCAATGTTAATGTACATGTTGGATTCAGGCAACATATAGACATATATAACCACAGTGATATTTAACACATCTGTAATATTGCTGCAATAATCGAGATTTTGGGGATATTCGTGGTCTGTTGAAAGTCATTTGTTAATGCTTTAACAATTTTCCATTTCCATTTAATGTTCAATGGTTATTATTTTGTTCACAGGCTGACTGTTTACAGTTTAACAGAAGTTACTCCCATAATTTGCGCAAAGCGTCATGGGGCGTAGGAAAATGGTGGATACATTTATAGAAAGAAATCTTTTGTAAAAAAAGCTTTTCAGTTTGTGAGGACGCTTCAGAGGCTAACAGAAACAGCAGTTCATGTCAGACAGCTCAAGAAAAAAGTATTTCTTCCTCCAGAACACTGTCAATCACCAGTGAGATGTTCTGAGGTTTTGAGGCCAACTTAAATTTGACTCTATTTAGGTTAGAAAAACTCCATCTGAAAGTCAAGAGCAAGGTGACATTGTTATTCTGAAAATCCCGTTTAGATTTAATGAGTGCCCGGTCTGTTTTGCCAACTGTACTTAAGGGCAGAAGAGAGAGACAGAAAAAAAAGTAATTTGCTTTTCCTCACAAACAAGAGATTGGAGGGCCATTGAAAGCAGAATGAATCAGAGGTGTGTGCAGATAGGCAATAAGCAGTGTCCTCACATACAAAGGCTCTTATTCATTTTTCCAGCAGATCTGGACGGCGGTTCAAAAAACGTCCGGAGTCGGTAACTCCCTCGGCAGCTTGTGATTTAGTGCGGCCTCACTCATCAACCCCCCTGCGAGTCGGCCCTGCTCCTTTTCTCTTCCGCCCAACTCCTGCTCCATCTCTCTGCTCCACTAAAGGTTAAAAACTAATGCACGGAAGGAATAATGAATGCCTATGGCTTCAAAGGGCAAGACAACTTATTCTTATGACAGGGTTTCTCACAAGAGTTGATTATCGCCTTATTGATTTACATATGCACTTTGTGTTGGGGACCTTTCAAAGGCTGCCTCTGGCATGCCCATCATCTGCTAGAAAAATAAAAAAGCCATTGTGTGCTGGAAACAAAATACCGGGTTGAAAATGAGAGAAGAACTAATTGTGAGATTTCTGTACTCCGGGCTGGCACATGAACAAAAGCACACTGACACATCACACTGCTGCTGACAGCCGGTACAAGTTCACAGTTTGTTATCCTGAAGTTGACAGAGGGAGAGGAATGCTGGTGGGAATGCAGAAATGTTAGCAATGCTAAAACCAACGCTATCGAACTTGAGCTATTTGCCAGGGCACCTGCTTTGCACTAATGAGACCATGATTTCACATTTTTCAGCCTTCAAAAGAGAGACATTTTTATAGCCTTATTCCTGATAATTAGTATGGGTAAAACATGCACATCTATCACACCTTTGGACCCATTGCAACCTAATGCATCTGAGATGATTTTAATACTTTTCTCACATATATTTGCTTTTTTGATTTCACATACCTGCACATAACACATTTTTTTTGTTCTATTAGTTGTGTTAGAATTATTTATTCCATCAGAACAAACTCAATTTTAAAATGTATTAGCTAATTAATTTATTAGCTAGATAATGTTTCAGAGGGAATTCATTAAAAAGTTTCCCCACTTTTGTACAAGGTATTTCAGCGCAAAAAAACTTATTTAAAATGATTGTCATTCTTTTTGTACAAAAATGCCTCATTTATATGCAAATTACAGCAAGATTCTATTTAAATAGAAATTATACATAAAAATGTTTTTTCGAAGTTATAATTAAAGATTAGAGTATGTTTTACAAGAAAATAATAGTTCAGTCTTTCTACTTTGAAATGTCAATGTGTTGCTTGCTGTTTCTTTGTAATTATTTGTGAAATCTATTAAAATCTAATCTAGTCTTTTTTTCCCTCAAACTATGGTAGAATATTCACTCTCTAAAAACTACAATAGCAGCTACATGAGTCTAAAAGCACTAACTCGAGCAGGGTGGTGAATGCATTAAGTGGGACAGAACAGAGAAACAGTGATGGAGGTGAATAGGGTACTTACAGCAATGCTGTGTCCAAAGCCGGAGCCGGGCTGGGGACTAGCAGCGCTAATGTAGTTGCCCACGCCGGAGTCCTGGCTGGTGGGGCCGTACAGGTCAGCCACTGGCCCGGGACTGCTGGCTCCAGGAAAGGCTCCAGGCCGGGGTGGGTTGGTGCCTGCCGGAGAAGTGGCCGTGCCAACAGTGATGTGAGCAGGGTTGCTAGTCAGGACTGCTGGTGTATAGTACTACTAACAAGCTTAGCACAAGCATGCACTATAAGCAAAAAATGTCATATTTTGAAAGGAAGTTGTGTGTGTACGTCTTTACTGCCTGAGGTGTTTTAGGAATTGTGGCCTAATGTCCTCTTTATGGTGCATCCAAAAGGTATGAAATGAAAAATAAAGAAGCTGGTCATAAATTCTTACACAAACACACACACACACACATTCCACAACTAGTCAGCTATACTTCAAGCTAGCAACTACTGCAGCAAAACATCTCATCATTCATGCAGATGAAAGTACACTTATGTATGTCGGACGCATCTTGCCAGCATTCACATGGCATGCATGCTACTCAAGTAGGTTTTAGGTGAGCTAGACTGCTGTGTGATGGAGATCTATGAAATTTTTTTTATACCTCTGAGGGCGTTTGTGATGTTTAAAAGTGTGAGTGAGAATGAATTGCTTCCTTCCAGGTTCTTTTCATTATCATAACCTCACCCTCTCTCCGCTCCCGTACACTCCCTTTCCCCCAATCTCATATCAAGTGCTCTAAACCCATCCTCCTTCAAATTTGACTGCCGGTTCTCCAGTCCCTTTCTGAAAATTGCACGGGGGATTTTGCCACAACACACCCTATCTAATCAACACCTGTCATTGAGAAAGTGGTCTCTCCTCCTCAATTTTTTTATTTATTTTTTTTTAAATATATACGGTGGTGATTATCTGGCAGTTAGCGTCAGGGGGCTATCAGGCCTAGCAGCTGCCTGGAAACCAGGAAATTGCTGAGGGTGTCTTGGGTAAAATGCGTTGAAGACTGAATCATGGAGTTTCCTCTCCACTGCGAGCGTGACTCCACTTTTGCTGAAGCTACATTTGAGTCTGAAAGCAGAAACTGTTGAAGATGAAGCCCGGGAGACGAAATTTAACACTCGCCAAGTGCAAATTGCAAGTAAAACTTGACTTTGGTGAATAAATAAAATGTTGCTGGGTCAGTTTGCTAAGAAATACAACATAAAACATATTTTAAGTCAAATTGTAAGAATGATTAACTAGTTGCTTATTAGCATGTCTATTATGAAAATATTGTCTGTTTATTAGTACTTATAAAGCACATATTCTGCATGACCACATTCTACATCCCTAATCCTACCCAATACCTAAACTTAACAACTACCTTACTAACTATTAATAAGCAGCAAATTAGGAGTTTATTGAGGTTTTCTTTAAATTTTTTTTTTTTTTTTTTTTTTTTTAAATATATATGGCGGTGATTATCTGGCAGTTACCGTCAGGGGGCTATCAGGCCTAGCAGCCTCCTGGAAACCAGGAAATTGCTGAGGGTGTCTTGGGTAAAACGCGTTGAAGACTGAATCATGGAGTTTCCTCTCCACTGCGAGTGTGACTTCACTTTTGCTGAAGCTACATTTGAGTCTGAAAGCAGAAACTGTTGAAGATGAAGCCCGGGAGACGAAATTTAACACTCGCCAAGTGCAAATTGCAAGTAAAACTTGACTTTGGTGAATAAATAAAATGTTGCTGGGTCAGTTTGCTAAGAAATACAACATAAAACATATTTTAAGTCAAATTGTAAGAATGATTAACTAGTTGCTTATTAGCATGTCTATTATGAAAATATTGTCTGTTTATTAGTACTTATAAAGCACATATTCTGCATGACCACATTCTACATCCCTAATCCTACCCAATACCTAAACTTAACAACTACCTTACTAACTATTAATAAGCAGCAAATTAGGAGTTTATTGAGGTTGTAGTTAATGGTTTGTTAATAGCGAAAATATGACCTTAAAATAAAGTGTGAGCGTTGCGTTAAAATAAAGTGACACAGGCAATTCTAATCAAAGATGTTGCGATGTACATGTTTTCTTCTAACAACTTGTGGAATCAGAAGTTTATGAAAGCTTTTAATAGTGCTTAAAGTTTTCTCTAGAACAAACATTCAAAAACAAAACAATATGAGAAATGATGTGTTATGTTTTTATGACAGATGCAGTTTCACTAACAGACACAATAAAAAAAATTTCAAAGGACAAACAGCTGTTAGCTAAATAGCAAAACAGAATTTCATGGTTGGAAATAAATAAGTTACGTAAGATTTCTCAATTGGCAAAAAACTTTTGTGTTAACTGAAATCAAGCTGATAAAAACAACAACACTAAATTAAAAAATGTTTTTTATTAAATCTAGAAATTTTGCAACTAACTGAAATAAGTTTAAGCACTACAATTACTAACTAGAAATAAATAAAAACTAAAAGCTGAACTAAAAATAAATAAATAAATAACAATATTAATAGTAATATTAAAAAAATAATACATAAATAATACGAAAATAATACGGAAATAACACTGATCAAATGTCAGATGTGGGGATCCTGGCCACAAAGTTTGTTTGCCGAAGTTGAAACTTCTGAACCTAAACACAAATCCCCAGAGCAGAAATACTGACAAATGTGTAAAAGGAGCAAGGAGGGGCTAGAGGGGGTTTTGGGGGGAAAACTACAATTAGACTAATTATATCAGACCACTTGAGCTATGGCTGCTGTCATTTGCAGATGACCCCTCCATTTCATTGCTGTTGAGGCGAATTAAGGAAAATAAAAACAAATGCATGAATTATATTAAATGAACGCTCTCAGAAACTTTGAGGCCCCTTGCTGTGCCATGCTCAATTTTTCTCCTACGTGCGGACCTCTATGACACTTCCATTAATAAGCGAATATTAAATCAAGTTCCTCCACAGGCGAAGGCCTTCAGATCAGCGCCCATTGAAGGGGGAGTCTATTACTGCAGCAGCCTCCAAAAAACTGAGGAGGGTAAAAGATATCTGTGTGAATGGAATATTAGCCTGGAGGGCTCATGTAAGACAGCAAATATGTTAGATAGAGGGCAATATGCCGCCGTGAGTAAACCAAACGAGGCAGACTCACACAATCCGTCTGCTTTTCACACAAATGAGAACACAGACAACAGGACAGGTGAGCGGCTCAGAGCTCTCACTTCTAAATGTCAGTGTATCAAAATAGCATCAGCTACTTCTAGGGATGATGGGAAAGCATGCATATCCACCACTAGATCTGAGTGGAGGGGAAAATGGCTGTCTCTAATTCACCACTTGTTTGCAAATAGCCCACTATAATGTAAAATATTACATTGATTACTAAAATAATTTAGTAAAATAAGTAGTAAAAATAAATTAAGTAAAAAAATTTCAAGTAAAAATATTCAAACATCTTTAAAAGAAAATACATTTACTTCAGAAGCAAACTTGATTTAAAAACATAAAAGTAAACAAACAACCAAAAACATAGTTAAGATTAAAAATGCTTTCCAGAGAATTATTTACAGAGAATATATCCTGAATTACATTATTAGTAATGTTTTAAGAATAATTATTTTCAGTAAAATTAAGATATTTATGATTTAATAATAATAATAATAATAATAATAAAAACACTGACCAAAAATATGCTTAATTCAATATATATATATTTTTGAACAACAACAACAACAAAAAAATGTAGTTTTTCAATTTTTCTTTTTAGGTAAATTAATCTCAGATTTTTTTTTTTTACTGAAAACAAACAAACAAAACTGATTAAAATGATTTTGGTGGTCAATATGAATTGAGCAAACACACTATGAAAGGCTCTAAAAACAGCAGGGTGTCAGACAAATGATGACATGCGTCATAAGTTCTCTTAAGTGTTAACTCCTGTCTTGAAATTGTTCTCGGACTGATCTGGATCAAAGCTTACACACTTAAATTAGCTTTTCCCTTGTCACGAATAAAAAGCTTCTAAAATAAGGGGGGAAACCAGCACACTGTAAGTGACAGCCCTGGTTAGCATCACGTACTGAGCTATGACTGGCTTCTGTATTCTCAATAGACCAGCGCTAATAAGACATGGTGATTCGCTTTTATATCTCCAGAAGCCATCAATGGGGATGTGCTCATTAACAGATCAGGAAATTGTTTTTGTAGCTCAATACTGCTGTGAAACGAATTCATACATTACCATCTATGATGGATTTATTTCAAAAACTCCTATTATGTGCAATGTGTTTAAGAGCATGCAATCATTTAGACTTTCATATATAGGAAGAAAAGGAGAGTGTTGCCAAAAGGACACATCTTGGAGGTTAAGTATATTGCTCACATGGTTGAAAGAAATGTAGAGAACATTATAATCAACAATCATCAATATGGTCAACATTCCTTGGCATTCCCTAACTGGGATCTGAACCAGAAACTGTCTGGTTGCTGGTGTTGATGCCTAATCCACACATGCCTCAATGTCAGCAAGACAGTTTATTAGTCATTATCATGGCTCTTGATGGCACTTTTTTTTTTTTTGCTAAGATGTGTCTTGTTTATTGCCAAGATCTCAAGACTGCCTTCCTTTGAACAACAGGCTACTGAATATAAAGTGGAGCACTACTGTTTTTAAGAGGGCCGAGCGTCAGTTCTGTGGAACACTACCATGAAGCATTAAAAAATATGCCAAGAGTTTGGGAATAGCAAAATTCTTCCCTTTAAATGTGCTGTCAAAAAGACATTTTTTCATCCATTCTACACACTCTTCCCATTTTCACTTATTATTTTATGTAATTCTATCTCCAGTGGCCACAAAAAGTATTTGAACACTTCAGCCACATTTAAAATGCCTGAACTTATTTGCATTAGATAAGAAAACATCAAACCAAGGGGATTTTTTTTCTTGTTACATCTGAAATTTCTATGAAACTATTCCACTATCATTTGACAACCAGAAAATTCCCAAATACTTTCTCATCAAGTTTAATCTAGTGTTTTATCATTTCAAATCTAACAAACTTATTTTTATGAAATATTTTGCTTGAAAAGTGTGCATGTGTTATCCTTCTTTACAATAAACACCACTTGGTTTGTCATTTTGTATGTACTGCAAAGACATTCATTTATTTTAAAGTGACTTAAAAGGACAGTTCACCCACATATGAACATTCTGTCATCATTTACTCAAGCTCATGTTGTTGTTTTTTCCCGTCAGAACACAAAACAGAGACATTTCTCGATATCTTCTTTTGTGTTCCACAGAAGAACCTAAGACACAGGTTTGGAATGACACGAGGGTGACTAAATGATGACAGAATTTCCATTTTCGGGTGAACTATCCATCTAAGTGTCTAAATACATTTTGGAGCCACTGTATATGTTCTCAAATAGAATGCACACAACAAAAAATACAACAAAAAAGGGGATGCTTTAACAATACTTATCAGTATGTGATACTTTGTCCAAATGCGGCAACTAAGTGATACAATCAAATTCCAACAAATGGCTTGTCACTTTATACTCATGTACATGACGTTTGGATATCATTTATCACATGCCAGCAGGCTGACAGTTGAGCGGTATGGAGCCGATGGTTGTGTAATACATATATACGTGTCTGAGTATGTACCGCACGAGATATGAACTGGCAAGCATGAACGCATATGTCGCATTTCCCGGTTAATTGCACAGGGACTGTGACCGCAGCCAAATTGGATATATCTCGACAGTACATATGCATTAGCGGCCACGTATACAAGCTCACGTATATATGCATTCCCTCAAATCCACAGGCGAAATGACAGTGCTACCACAATTCAACATGCAGCAAACTGCAAGGATGCACAAATCCCTCGCTTTCCCTTCTCATCTGTCCCCCTCTCTCTCTTTCTCTCTTGTTTTAATGAATGGCAGGGTGATGAATAAACCACATGAATCAAATCAATCATTGAATAAAGGAGAGGCGGGTACACACCTGGGCTCTTATACTGATCCGGGCTGGCCAGGTGCTGGAGAGGGGAGTTGCAGGCTGATGTGGCATGCTCGCTTTGCAGCAGCTGAGCCGCCTGGGGGCCCAGGGAGCCATAGTCCGCAAAGGAGAAGGGGGGCCCCCGTTGGTCGCTTGGCGAGGAATAGAAACCGTAATCGGGGAAGCCTGGGAGATACAGTACAGGGGAGGAGGAGGAAGGGAGGAGGAGGAGGAGTGGGATTTTTACTATTGCTGCAATTACTATTGCATAGTAATGTTATGAGGCAATGCTTAATATCTGACTTGCATGGTTGTACAATACAGCGTGCACTGGGAAAATAGATGGTGAGTTTGTAAAGCCACATCTTGCTGTTTCCTATCTGTGTGACTGTGTGTGTGAATGTGACGGTGAGTGTGTGAAGACTTGCTGGCCACCACTTTACACTATACTACTATAAATACTTGGGTTTGCTGCAGACGGAGGTACTGACACACTACAGATCAAATAAGCAAACAGAAGTTGTGGTTTAAAAAACTTTTATTTGATGATTACATAAAAACTGACTGACCTTAATAAATGTTCTGAGAAAGGAACGCTCATCATTAGACATGCTAATTTGGATTCAGCATTCACAAATACAACAAGCAGAAAAATAACTAGAATACCACTGTTAACCGAACCTCAAAGCATGCGTTACATAATGTCATCCTCCTTATGAGGTTTATAATATGTGGTTAATTTTTCTTTAATATGTCAAAATATTTACAAATATAAGAATATTTTATTGTGTATGAGTACATGTGTGTTTGTGTGTCAATCTGTTGAACAAACTATTTTGAGTAAAAGGACTCTTAAATATTACATACAGTGGCCTTAGAAAGTTTTTGGATAGTAAGGTCAGACTAAAAAAAATATGAATGTCATTGCATTATATCTCACAATATGCATTTATTTTGAAATAAAAAAGTTAAATACTTCCCAAAAAGTGGGTTTTAATAAAGTTCAAAATGAAAATTACTTAAACACTTTCTGGTAAAGTCATTTTGGAAAACAACAACAACATCAAAAACATCACCATTTGATGCCACTTTGTTTGATATTTCATATCTAATGCGATGATATTCTGACATTTAAAAGTGAGACTTCAGCATCTAAATACTTTTTGGGGCCACTGCACACAAATAATTATAAATAAAATTAAATACTAATTCCCAAAATGTTGCTTGTATACAAATGAAAAACAACTATTACATAACCAAACTCAAGTCTGTCACTCTCTCTGAGTGAAAAGCAGACAAATATGAGAAGATGTAACCAGTGCTTAATTTGTAAATGAATAATTTCCGGATCCAAAAAAGCAATTAAAAGGTGCTGTGACTGACACTGAAAATACAACTTAAGTTTTCCCGGAACATTCAATGATGTCACTAAACGTTGATGCCACAATTATAAGAGAGCATCGTTCACAAGTTTCTGCATTAATCTAACTAGGGCAAGCTTCAAACCCTGGGTCAAAAATGGGTTGCCAGGATGATTTTAGGAAAATGTATATCTAAGATACATTAAAAATAACAAAATTTGTTTTCATAAAAATAAAATTCAATCATAGTATTGGTATAAATATGCGAAAAATATCTGACTTAAGTTTTAATTAAACGTGCATCCTAGCTTTATTTGACAAAATCACAAATATTCTGTTGTTATTTTGAGTGTGCAAAAGTAAAAGTAAACACTTTGTGCTTTTGAATAATGTATTATTCTTATCTGTATGACCAAAAATGATGTATTTTATGTTTCAGCTGTTCAATTGCGCCTCGCGCTCTCGCTCGCTCTCTCTCTCTCTCTCTCTCGCTCTCTCTCGCTCTCTCTCTCTCTCTCTCTCTCTCTCTCTCTCTCTCTATTATCAAAATAAAATACAGTCAACCAAAAATATAAAAGTTTACACTGGTCAATTTAAATAGTCCGTGGTATAACTGGTCCACTTTGTAGCCTATGCCAAGCACATTTTTGATGATGTGAAGAGGATATTTCTGTTGATATACGAACGCGTGTGAAGTAGGCTACAAAGCCTCTACATTATAAATAACAGTTTCATTCAAATACATTGCGAATATGGAAACATGAGGATTTGTGCCGAATGAGAGGTACGTGAGCCCAATTAACGCCTGGTACTTTCAGTTTCGCTTTGTTTTGGTTTCTTTAGGTTTATATATTTTTATTTCATTCTTGTTATGTTCTGAATACCGTTACATTTATATGATTTGTTTTGGAGTGAGCTATACTAACGTATAGCTATGTTTATAGTGTTTATAATGTTTATACATTATAATATTTCACTTTATTCGGTATTATTTCTGGTAAAGCAGTACCAATCAATGAGAGCGAGCAACTTAAGAAAGCTGACTGGTCACGGTCAAAAATATGTTGAGGACCAATACATAACCTCCAAATACATAAATCTGCGCTCGCTCTCATATGCATGCACGCAATCTAATGCTGGATCCTTAAAAACAATTACCGGAACGCAAAATTCCAAAATCTGACAATTTCCGGAACAGGATCCGGCTCAAATTAAGCACGGGATGTAACCTTGTAGCTGAGAAGAAGACCTGAAAATTATCCATAGCTGATGGGCTGTAATTAAGCTGACCCCGTCCTGCACTGCTTGCTGTTGTTACAGACGTGGAACTGTGAACTTGAGGGAAGGTGTTAAAGAGAGGGATGGAAGGAGCTCACAGAACTCCAGTGTACCTGCGCTAACTGTTTATAAATAGTCAATATAGCCCCTCTGCTAGAGCTTTATATCAGCCAACCTATCAGCCCAGAGAGTGTCTCATTAGAGCAGCCTTGGTGAGGTAGTACATACGATTCTTCTTCCTTTTCCTCTGCTTTAATTAGTTTCAGATCTCAGATATACACAGCAGAACAAATGAGGTCTATGCCAGCCTACATTTAAGAAGAGTTGAGGGAGTGATTGTAGCTGAGAAGACCTGAAAATTATCCATAGCTGATGGGCTGTAATTAAGCTGACCCCGTCCTGCACTGCCTGCTGTTGTTACAGACGTGGAACTGTGAACTTGAGGGAAGGTGTTAAAGAGAGGGATGGAAGGAGCTCACAGAACTCCAGTGTACCTGCGCTAACTGTTTATAAATAGTCAATATAGCCCCTCTGCTAGAGCTTTATATCAGCCAACCTATCAGCCCAGAGAGTGTCTCATTAGAGCAGCCTTGGTGAGGTAGTACATACGATTCTTCTTCCTTTTCCTCTGCTTTAATTAGTTTCAGATCTCAGATATACACAGCAGAACAAATGAGGTCTATGCCAGCCTACATTTAAGAAGAGTTGAGGGAGTGATAAAGAAATATAAATAAAAGAAAAGAGAAAGGAATGCTGATTCTCTCACAGGCTGTAGCTGCACTGCTCTGACCTTCTCCAATCACTCATTAATTATCCACCTCTAGTCTGCTGACTGCTCACCTCGGCCCAAACCTTGAGTCTACTCTAATGGAAAAACAACAATGGCTGCATTTTTGGTCACCAAACACATTTGTTAAAGACCCAGAGATTTGTTGGTATTGCTTATACACTACATGGCCTACAGTAGGTGGACAGTGACACCAGTGTAATTCTCAAACAAAAATGAAATTTTGTTTTTATATGTCGTCATCATTAACGAAGAATGTCTAAGTCATACTGTGATTATACTCTTTCCGCAACAACTCACTAAACCTAATTTATAGTACCTTACGTCTCTTCACAACAAGGACTTGTTTTATAATCCAAAAAATGTTTGAATATTTGGTTTAATTAGGCACTGGTCAAATAAAATGTTGTTTTCATGGCTCAAAATGAGTAAAACTGACTAAATTAATGAATATGACAAATAAATATTAAACTGAAATCTCCTTACACAAACATATAAAGTAGAATGAGGTGCACCAAAGCAAAATACATAAGGATATGGTTTTAAGGATAAGGTGTGGAGGAAATTGACTAGCTTACACAAACCCCAAACTTGAACCACTATTGAAGACCTTTGAGAAAAGTCAAATCCCTGCAACCAGAGGAGTAGAAGCTGTCAGGAAGGACTGACTCCCCATTAATGCTAATGGTTTTGGAATTAAACAAGCACATACAGATGTGGTGTTTGCTGTCCACATATTTTTGGCTATGTAGTGTACCTTTCTCGGGTGTCTTTCCAAGAAAAAGCTAAATAAAATGTGTTGCAAATTCCTATATTTGCATTCTGTTTCAGGGACTGCCAAAACAGACCGGAGAAATTCATAGGCACAAGCACTGAAAAGATGCTTACGAACAGTAAACAGAAACGAGCATGAAAATCCCCATCCTGCCAGTACCTACACTCCCAAACGCGAATAAATCACAGATGCATCCCGACGTTCAAGCTCTCTCCCGCCAACTGTGCAAAAACGAAGGAAATGCCTGAGGTTTGCTCAGAATCTTCAAGTGTTTCAGCTTCCCGGAGAGGAGGGGAAAGCCCACTCCAGTACGCACATCTTTAATCATTTAAGGAAAGCAACCAAAAATGCACTTAGGCTGAATCCATTTTTGATGGGCCTCTAATAGATGGGCGTCCTTGAGGTTCAAAGGGAACCCTGGACGCTCCTCTTAATTAGACAAGCTGCCATCCCGTCCTGTTTCCCCTCATCCTCCTAATTAGATCTTTAACAACAAACAAATGAAGACCTTTTACAGGCGCGTGTTGCACGGCCCGCCTCGTCCCCACCAAGAAAGGGGGGGGCACAGAGACGTCCTTTTTGTCTAACACTCCCCGGCCCTGCCGCGTGCGACAATGGCTGGGTCCTGCCGCAATCTGCATAAATATTCCACCTAATTTCCATGGAGTGGGAACGGTGGGACACAAAATACGGCATTACTGCACGTACAACAAACACACCTGGTTTCTTTGTTTGCATTGACAGAGAAAATTAGACCTGAAAAGCTGTTCGTTTTAATGCAGTGGCAGGAAAGGTCTTATCTAATAACGGCCTGCAGAAATTACGTTTATTATCCAGGTAGATCACGTCCAATGACAGTGCTATCTGAAGCAGAAACACAGAATAAAATGCAGTTAAAAAGTGCCCATTTACTGTCTATAGAGAAAGCCATCTGGCGGAATAGGGCTGCTTGATTACCTTCGCCGGCTAATTCTCTCTCTGAGCG